TTTTTTGAAAATAAATAATAAAATAAATCCTCCCTTTCGTCTTCTTCACTTTTTAGAAATGTGTTGACAAGATAATGGATAATATATTTATTTTTAGATAAAACTTAAATGCAATATTAAATGCTAGAGGGAACCGGCCAAGTTAACTATATATAGAGTATCATACAAAGAAGGAGAGTGACACTTAAGTATTCTTAATTAAGATTTATATTAAAGTTTATATTAATATTTTATTGTTGAATTTATTGTATTACCCTTTATCAAATTTTTCTGGTATTAAGTGCATTTATATATTTAGAGTTTTATAAATGTTACACTCAAAATGTGAGGAAATGTATTAAAAATTTTATATTGAATAATGATATAACTAAAATAAAGTATATATAAATAATAAAAATTCGTACATTACAAATCACTTATATATATATATATATGATTAAGAAATAACTTATTTAAGATATATTATATAATAAGTTTTTATATAATAAGATCTTAATTATAATTAACATTAAACATTCAATGAATTCGAATAATGATATGTTTTAAGAAATAACTTCTTTAAGATCTTATATAATAATTTTTAGAGATTTAATGAATTGAGTAAAATTTATATTAAAGATAATATATAATTAAGATTTGTAAGTTATTGATTATAATACTTTTTAGTTACCGTATTTAACAAAAAATTATTTTTAATTAAAATATATTTTAGAATTTTAGTTAATTCATTATCATTCACTCACTTGATTAAAAAGTGATAAAATATAATTAATTTTTAATTAATTTAATAAAATATATATCTAAAATCTGTAACAATTTCTTAAATACAAATATTTAATTAATTAATTTTAATATATACTAAATTTAATATTAAAAAATTTATAAATATTTTAGTTATAATTTTTATTATCTTTTGATTCAATATTGAATTTCTTTTGATTATGAAAGATAGTAAATAAAATCTAAAATCTGTATGAGTTTGTTTGATAAAAATGTTTAATTAATTTAAATCCTTTTTTTAGTAGATAGACTTAATTTATCTTCCTTTTTTTTTCATCATGTAATTGAGCAGAATATGACTATTGTGAAGATGTTTTTCTTCTAAAATAATATTTATATTATTATTTTAATTTCCATCCTCAGTTATTATTTTAGATGAAATGTTTTTTTACAGCAAAATAATTGTTTTATTGCATGTGAACACATTTTTTAATCATTTAATTAATTTTGCAAAACGGAGTCCTTGATATCCTGTGGAGCGTCGCGGAAAAACTCCTCCACGGGAACGAGGTCAATGTCGGGATATTTGGACTTGAAGTCTTTGCAAGCCTTGATTGCCTTCACGTAGTGGCTTTTCTCGTACATAAGGTTGTGAAGCTGCAGCGATGTGAAATCCACGGGAGCCTTGGCACGCTCCGTTTCGGTTTTCACTCTGTCTTCCTCAAGCAAGATATTGCGATTTGCCTGAAAACAAACGAAGAGAGTCATAAACCCTAGACTAGAGAATAAGAGTTGCGAAATAGAGTACCTGGCGGAGAGTGACGAAGTGCAGGAACAATATATATATATATATTAATCCTTCTAAAAAATTTTAAATACGATTTTTGTTCTTAAAAAAACTTGTACCATTTTAATCCCCTAATACGAAAACACATCATTTTTTTGCTCCAAAAGAAACAATTAAACCAAATCTAAAAAGACCATAGCAATTAAAATGGTTTTTAAACCGAACCTAATTATTGATTGAATTTGGATACTTACAGTACAGTGCATCATTTCTTCTAATAGGTTTTTGAACATTGCATTCCAAGTACGACAATGACTAAAATTCTTCCATCCTTTCAACCTCGCTCAGACTCTTGAACCATATTTGGGTCATCATAAGCCAAATGACTAGAGATACTCTACTGTTATCCTAAAACTATGATACATTCTGATGCAATATTTGAGACTTTCTCCTCCTCTGAGTCATGATTTGATCACCATTATTAGACTCCCATAACCTTCTTCCTTTTACTACTTGATGACGGTGGCTTCTTTTTATTGATTTTTTAAAATTTATAGTTATATGCTTCGTGGCATATTCTTACTTGTTCTAATTAATTATTATTATTATTATTATTATTATTATTATTAATCTTATTACAATGAAAATGCAATTTTTAGATTCTAATGTGACATTCCTACCTTCCAATACTGCTATACCTAAATATAGGTTGCCATCTTTTGTCTTCTTGTAATCTTTGTCATAACTCAAAAAATAATATCCAACTATATATACTTATTTTATTGGTAAGTGTTTAAAACTTACTTTAAACAAACACTTACTTAGTTAAAATTAAGAAATACATCACATAGTACAGTATTTATAATTCCTAATTAATGATGGTGGTTGAATAGAGGTTGGAGTGGGAAAAGCCATTAGAAGTCAATGGTGAAGGTGAAACTTCATTTAAGGGTTAATGATGTATGTAGAATCATTAAAGACAATGTCCAAATTATGTAGTATGATGATAGACTAGACAGGTAACGATTGAACTTATGGGAATTTATTTAATATTGTTTTACGTATAGAAACCAAATTAAAAGTATAATATATATAGACTAATAATTAAAAATATAATACATATAAAGATTAAATTAAAAATACACTACATATATAAAATTCGAATTAAATGTGTAAAGGAGTTAAAGGTTCACATGAGACTTTACATTGCATGTATCAAAACTAACGTTTACACATATAGATATTAATTGGCTTTTCAATCTTTAAGGGGTAAATTGAAAAGCTAATTACAAATTTGGTGCAAATAAAAAAAATATTTTTATATATAGGGTAAATCGATAACAGAGAAATTAATCGATATTACTTAAGAAATCCACATTCGCATCATCGATTTATTAAAATGTGTTTTAAAAAAAAATTGTAAGTCTACAATCCTATGATCAATTTTTGTTAAAAAATATTGTTTTCTTTCACAAAGAAGAATGTCGATTTCTACATTAGAGATGTTAAAAAAAATCTCTACTTACAGAGATTCGTGTATAAAATCTGTTATGAATAAAAATTGAGTATTGTAAATGGATATCCACATACAACAAATATGAAAATTTCTATACTCGTACGAGTATGAATATTATATTAATATTTGTACTCGTGGATAATCACTAATATTTAATTTTATAATTACATATTAAATTTGTTTAAATTTATTGAAATGAAATATTTTACGGATATTGAAAAAATACGTGGGTACTTACTTAATGGATACTTTGATTTTAGTTTAGTTTAATATAGTTGGTTCTTGCTTTTGACTCAAACTTTGAGTTGTACCCACTTTGTTTCTTGTGCTTTTCATTTTTTTAGTTTCTTCTTTTGTTACTTTTTATTTTGGTTGTAGGTTTGGTATGGTCCCCCTACTTGTATTTCCTTTCTTTTAAATATTAGCTTTTATGATGTATAGGATATGATTGTTGTGGGGTAGGGTGCTAACCTAGTTGGGATCCCTCCTCACATAGTGATGCTAATGCACATCTACCTTTCTTAAAAAACAAGTGCGGTTTAATTTGGTTTGGTTTAGAGTAGTTTCACATTTCAATCCAAAAGTTAGAACCAAAACCCATGATTTTGGAAATTTAAAAATCCAACTGAACCACTAATTTGTGATTTTCAATCAATTCTAGATTTTTTTGGTTCGATTTGCGATTTTTCATTTGGGTTGATTCGATTTTGAACACCCCTACCTCTAGTGAGAGATAAGAGAAATATTGATGAGAATATTTAATCAAGGATCTGGAATATCCTAATGTTTTTAGATAACAATATTCTCAATATTATTAAAAAAATAATATTTCTTTTAAATTTTAGTTACCTTATTTAAAATAGATAAAATTGGTTGTATTATTATTTTTTTAGATAGTTATATTTCACATTTTTTTTATCATGTATATATATAAAAAAATCTATATATATATAAATAATCATTTTTAAATACATATATATACATATAATTCGGGGGTGGGGGTGAGGAGTTTCCGCTGCTTGTCGAGGCGTGTGAAGACGATGGACCGAACACCGATTTTGTGTTCTTGGAGGCGGAACCTGGTGAAGACGATTACTTCTACGCATACATGTGTTGGTTCGAGGACCTCGGCATAGAGCTGCCCTTTGATGATTTTCAGATGGGGGTTCTCCGAACCCTAAATGTGGCGCCGACCCAGTTGCACCCTAACGCTTGGGCGGCCATGCAAGCATTTCAAAACTTGTGTCTTTGTCTCGGCCTCACGCCTCGGCCACTCGCATTTCTTTATTAATATACTTGCCGCCCGAGCAAACCGGTAAAGTGGGTTTCTTTAGCTCGGGTACCGAAACGTGGCTTTCTACGGGCCTTCACCTCTTCGTACAAGGGATTTAAAAGTGGATTTTTCAAGGTTCGCTGGGGGTCGGAGATGCGGGATTGCTTCTATGACCGAGAAGACTCCCCGCTGTTCCCATTCTACTGGACGAGGCGTCCGACGCGCTTTGAGGCGATCCCTACCTCCAAACTCCCTGCCGAGGACAAGGAGATTGTGGATTTGTTAGATCAACTGTCGAAGGAGCTTCCTGTCCGAGACCTATTGGAAATTTTTGAGACGTCTCATTTTGAGATGGTCTTGCTAGGTATGTGTGCTAGGATTCGGTTACTTAATCAATTTTTAAATTGATGTTAAAATTTTCTTTGTAGTAGGATTGATGGCCGGAGGCAAGCTGGACGTAACCGCGATGCTCGCCAATAGGGCGAAGGAGGCGAAGGAGAG